GTGCGTTTGGAGATGTGTACGGAGAGTACCACTCGTTGTGAATTTCTTGTTGCACACAGAACACTCGAACGGCTTCTCCCCAGTGTGCGTTCGGAGATGTGTGCGGAGATTACAACTCGTCGTAAATTTCTTGTTGCATACTGAACACTCAAACGGCTTCTCCCCAGTGTGCGTTCGGAGATGTATACGGAGATTACCTCTTTGCGTGAATTTTTTGTTGCACACAAAACACTCGAACGGCTTCTCCCCAGTGTGCGTTTGGAGATGTATATGGAGATGACCACTTTGCGTGAATTTCTTGTTGCACACAGAACACTCGAAGGGCTTTTCCCCAGTGTGCGTTTGGAGATGTTTGCGGAGATGACCACTTTCCGTAAATTTCTTGTTGCACACAGAACACTCGAAAGGTTTCTCCCCAGTGTGCGTTTGGAGATGTCTGCGAAGAGCACCACTTTGCGTAAACTTCTTGTTGCACACAGAACACTCGAAGGGCTTCATGCCGCTCGATGGCACGTAGTTTCTGTAAAATACAGATTCAATATTTACATACGAGACATTCCTTTTAAACTACTTTCTGCATTTACAATTAGTGATCTATAAGATAAGAGACAAGAGGGATGTTCTAACCTTTTTGATTTTGCTCCGTGACCGCTCTGGCTGTTGGACGCGCCTCGACTGCCTGTCCGCGTGTCGACGCGTCCAACTGCGCTCGCGGCGCCTCGCATTCCGCTAGGCTTGCACTCTGTGTCCGTCCGTCCTCGCCCTCCTCGTGTGCTCTGGGTGAATGCGGATGGGGACGGGGAAGGGGAGCGGGGAGCTGACAGGGGTGCGGGTAGGCCAACCCGCAAAACAGCTGTGTGGAGCCAGCGGCCCGCCCTCTCCCGGCGCTGTAGCACGCCGCACCGAACGCACCTCTTGGTGGAGGCTTCTGTATTGTTAACGCGTGGACTTTCTCTGCTTGTAATACACAGTAATACTCTGTAATAGTGTAATACCTCGCAATACGCGTAACGTAATATACGGG